TTCTAGAGCTACAGATGTCCTAGGTGTGACACACCTAAAGTGTCAAAGAGCTTGGGATCACTAATAATAGAAGCACTAAGGGAGGGCAGACCCTCCTTACAATGTGGGGGAGCAAATGTACTGGTATTAATCAGGAGAGAAGACAAAGTGAGGAAGCACCACGTGGGACTGTGTTGGCCTCAGTGACACCTGGAGATCTACATTTGAGATCTAAAGACAAGATCTGAGACCTGGGAAGGAGCTGGAAGGCCTCCCTGGCAGACCAGGCCTCTTGGGCAAGAATCACCAAGGCAGCATCAGACCCATTCAAAGTCACTGGGATACAATCCAGATGATCAAGTGTGGGTTGGGAATGTCCCCCACCCCCAATCAAAGTCAAGTGTTTAGTCTACAACCCTGCACCTGTAATTTGAAGTAAAGATGGTTGGGTCCCTCTGATGTGTGACACTTCTGGATCAGTGTGAAAGGGGCCCAGAAGGTTGGGGAAAATTTCATGTGGATTTGCCAGTTTGCCAGGAGAATCTGTCTTTCTGACTTTATGCTCTGGTGATGCTCAAATCAAGGACAGGTCTAGTCTGGCAGAGCAGTGTCCCTGGACTCTGGCATGAGGCCCAAACCAGTGGGGAGGTCAAGGCTGCTCCTGAGGAGCTGACTTGGTGTCTGTCCCCACAGTCTCACATTCTCCCCTTACCTGCCTGCCTCAGCTGCACACAGGCACTTGCCCATTCTTTTCCTATATTCTGCCATCTCAGTGTCAATGCCAACAATTCATGGGGCCTGCTCTGAGCCTCAGTTCTGTTTCCCCTGACATGTAAATACTGATTTTTTGCTCACAATGTTGTGAGGCAAAAAGGAGGAAGCATAGTGGGAAAATATCTCCCACAATGGCCAGAACTTGGTGGGCACCTGCCTTCTCACAGTGTAAGTGAAAACATTTGCCCATTGATTGTCTAAGGATGTCCATTGCAGTACATTAAACAAACTTAAGGGTGATCAGATTGGACCCAGAGACTGGCAGGCCCGTTTTCTAAAGATAAAGCGTTTCTCCGTTACCATTGGAATTCAGATCCTAGCACATAAAGGAAGGAAAGGCTACAAGAGGATACTTACATAGGTACACTCAGAGCTCTGTCTGGGGAGAGACCGTTATTCAGATGATGAAAGCTCATGAGCAGCCACACGGGTAAACACACATGAGAGAAAATACAAAGTCACATGAGAATGAACCAAAGTCCTTTTGCTTTGCAGAACTACCCATGTGACATCCAGAGGACCTGAGCCTCGATAAACCACAATTGTAGCTGAATATTGGAAAAAGTGTCACAGGCACATTACTCTTTTCCCTGCCTGATCATGCCCCTTCCCTGTTTTAACTTTTCTTTGACGTTTTCCTGAATAAAACTTTTGCCATCTTGTCTGTCTGTCAGTGTTAGTTTACTGAGCGAACCACTTATACTCCCAAGCACACAGGGTGCACATAGCTGAAAACAAAGCAGACACTCTGGTGCTGGAGCAGGGCTTGGTTGCTCTTTGAGTGGTCTTAACTGAGTGGGGCAGGAGGGAGCATTCTGGACTGTTGGAACAATTTCTAGATAGGGTTGTGGTGGTGCTATGTCACCCTAGAATTAAGTGCTGAGCCTAGTGATTTCTGTGGAGCCTTGAGAGACAGTTCGCTGCCTGATTGGGGGGCTGACTTCTCATGGTGTTGAGTAGAGGATGGACCTGCAGTAGACCTCGGAGGCTAAGGTGGAGAGTTCACAATGGCCAGGCTCTGTTTATGCACTCTCTTGTGCCAGCTGTCCCAAAGGAGCACCCAGTCCATGAGTCTGTCCCTACCCTGTTTACTCACATTAATGATTGAGTGATGGGAACAAAGAATAGGAGGACACAGAAGAGATTCCACATGTCTATGTCTTGATCCTCTCTAGATGTCCTTAAGTTGCCAAGGAGGAGGTGGGGGAGGTTGAGGGGCTGGGGTTGGAGAGGTGGAGGGAATGGAGTGAGTCCTAATTAGGAATGGAAAAGGGCTGGGGTGTAGCAAGAACAGGTGTATCAGGCACCTGGAAAGAGGTGGAGAAGGGCACTAGGGGAAAGTACTGTAGTCAAAGTTCCAGAGTTTGGGAGGAGTGCTCGGGGCAGTTCTGTGTGTCTGCAGGTCAGCAGACCAGCAGTACACAAGGAGTAGTGGGACTCAGGATCATGCCGTTGTAGGGAGAGGTGAGTTCAGCTTCCCCCCAAATGTTCTCCAGTTTGCTTTCTGTAATAGCAACTGAAAGGCTTTAAACTCATTCTGAAGAATCAGATGCCCTTGCTCCAGATGCATTACAATGGACAGTTCCCCACCCCCTTACCATGCATGACCCCCTTCCCCACCTAAATTAGCCCACATGCCATTCAGATTAAAAATCCTCTCTATGTGTCCTGTACCAAATTAGAAATAATAATCATAATAATAAATGAAATTTAAAAATTTTGAAAATGTTAGAAAAAAAGAAAAGTCCTCTCTAGTCAGGCAGAGGAAAGGGTCAGGGTGACTTAGATCTGCAAGGGGTCATGAGAAAGAGTAAGTTAGACCTGGACACTCCAGAGAGAGAAAAGTCTACAGAGAGCTCTGCCCATGTTCAGTTTTGCACAGAGTAGGATGGGGGTAGGGCAGGGACTGCTCA